AATTGCCGCCATAAAATTGCGATGATTGAAGGCAAAGGCTGACATTGTCGGGCCGATGCATGCGCCGCTATCTCGGGCGGTATCGAATTGTGGAGTAGCCATGCATCCGGCAATAACTGATATTCGGCAGCGCAGGTGGTTCGACTAGAGGCTTGGCATTGGAACCGTGCTTCGACAATAAAGTGTGGGTCAATCTCACCAACCAACATGGGACTCGGTGAGCTCCCAGGGCCCAAGCGTACGATCCGATTGCTTTTACTTGCAGATATAGATCCCCTAATGCGGACAGAAGTTCCTGAATCCGTAACGTCCCGTATGACGTCACGTCACGTGCCGTCACGTTACTTAGGTACGTGTAGGTACCTAAGTAAAGGTAGGCAAAGGGTACGTGTACGTTACAAGCCAGGCCGGACAGACCATGGCTCACGTCTGGCAACGGCTGAGATCATTATTATGTCATCCAAACGCTTACGGTTTTCATCAGACTAGACTGCAAAACTCTCACTATTCTCACCCAGCCAAGCTTAGTGTCGCATTCGTCAATGCTGCGCAAGGTGTGGTGAATTTCGCTGCAAATCCCACATGACGCAACCTTCAGCCATCCAACACGCAAGAACTTGCAGCAGATGGCCAGCTCTGCTTGTATAAGCATCGTGCCCCCCTGTCTTACAGCAAGATACCTGTGCTAATGTGAACACAGCTGCAGCATATGGGGCTGGTTTCCACTAGCTCGAGGATTTTATGTCCCTACTTTACATGTTCCCATGACGAACCATGCCTCACTATAAGTGACTTTCGTTGGATGGACAAGTTTATTAAGAGAGAATGAGGCTGCTGAAGATTGCTTTTCCGTAGTAACTTTTGATATACGAGACGTGTATTTCTATAGAATTATGAAATATGACAGGTTAGGCAAACGAGGGCGATGAAAAATGTCCACTGAAAGGTTTTCCCCATGGCTCAATCGATCTTCTCCTAGTTCAAAAGTTGTCTGGTTTACCGTTCTCACGCCAGCACATCTGCGAATTCTAACATCAGCGTGGGCCCAATGACATAGCGATGCATTAAAGTGACATCGAAACTTTGCCTGCACCTTAGGCCACAGGTCTGTGGCAGTGCCGGGCGAAGTACAAAGCGCAGAGGCGGTGCACTTATTAATGTTTTGCGTTTGCTGTTGTTGAAAAGGTCCTGTTTGAAATAATGCTTCCTTTTTCTGAAAAAAATGCGGTGAAGAACGCAGGAGGGGGTCTAAATTTTGCAAATTTTTGCAAATTGAGGGGGTCTAAATACAGGGTTTGGGGTGGGGAGGGGGTTGCGGCGCTGGGGGGCTAGCTCATTCTTTCCACACCTCACCTTGCCGTAACACCTCGGCATGCATTGTATCGATTCCGGCGGGCGAGGTTTCAAGCAGATGATTGTTATCTGAGCTGGCTTCATTGAGGCCAACATTTCAAACACACATGTGGGACATTCATTACGGTAAAGAGCTTAAGGAGAGTGTGCTACCCGTTTTGTGTTCTTAACTTATTGCTAGATCATGCAGGTTCAATTTGATTGGTGATCCCAGTTTTCTTTAAATCCTTCTGAATAGCTCATAGTTCCTTTTGAAGACGTCACTCCGTTCTGAGATATCTTATTGGACTCTATGCTCATCACTATGAAAGTAGTGTTTTTTTTCCCCTTGCCTTTCACAGCGTATGTGTTCCGTAATGCCTACAATACGCCGACTGATCCAAACGCTGGTACAATAAATGCTACGAAGGCCTGGAACACTTTATTTAAGGAAAAATATATACACATATTAGTCAATTATCGCGCGAATTCAGACATATGATACTATGGATTTGATTTTTGCTCTGGTGTTTAGCGCAGCGACTTTTTTCGACCCGCACTTGGTCTCGGGAAACGCATGACACGGCCTATAGTGAAGCGTTAGTCACGCGACGCAAACCAATACGTTTTCTGTAAATGACCTTTGCCGCCCGCTGTGCCAATCACAAACGTTCAGTTGAACTGGTGTCATTCATACCAGTAGGAATGTCAATTTAAGATACAAAGACCCGCAACGTGCGGCCAAAACAGCTCAAAAGTTGCATCTTTGGTCCGTGACAGCCGATAACGGTTCTCAGCGGATTATGCCGTATTTAACTGCGGCGGGCAAAAGCCACATTATGAGGCTGCTAATAAAGAAAGAAGTGTAGTGCTGTAGCATAACGTTAAAAGCGCCTCACTTAAATTTATGGGTGATGCAGTCGCAATACCCAGTGTTATCAGCGTACATAACTAGTCCTGAGGTTTCATTGGAGTATGTTTTTGTATCACGCCCGAAAGGTGGGACACCCATTTTAGTAAACGGGAGCTTTTTTATTCTCACTGGTTTTGCTTTTCATTTACGATATTTTTACATTTCGACGCTACAAATAAACTCCCAAGGTTTTTCTGGAAGGTAGTAATCATCCTCGTAAGTCAAAGTCATACTTAAAAGCTAAATCTATACTTGCCAGTCCGAATCATATATGCAAGCAAGCAATTTTTGGATAAGCGGTCGACGCAAAATCTTAAAAAATGTAACTTACAGTTATAGAGCTATACTAAAGCGTTGCATCTCCGAATTGGTGCGTCTCACCTACAGCATCTGGTCTCTGACTACCCCGGCGAAATATCTTACCAGCAAGCAGCTGTTCGAAATCACTCAGATTAAAATTCGAGCTTTTATCTCATATATCTTCCACCAGACGGGCTCCCCACCTCCTTCAATCGCCTAAGCAGTATTATTATGGATTTTCGATCGAAAACGTGATCGGTAATAGGGTACCATCCGTTATATAACCACCATGTCAGTGAGTTTAGCACCGCGACCAACGTGTGCCTTGCTTATTCAAAGGGCGTTGGCTTTTTTTTACAATTACAGTGTCAGCCTAGCAACATTGCACGCCCGTTTTAGATGCCTACTGCATATGTAAAAGCACATCAGGTAGATGAATAGGTCCCGTAACTTAAATAAATTTGTAGCGCAAATTTATTTCAGTTATCCAATGAATTTATATCCCATTGAAGGCGGTAACATCATTGCCATTGATCACTGGCCAGGCGACGGTGGGTATTCGCGATTTGTGTTCGACGTGTGCTGATTACAATGACTTCAACTGTCGCGTTCTTTCATAATTTTCGCACGAGCGCCTCGACAGTTGACAACTCTGACTAAGCCAGTGCTGGGCGCTTCTGTTGCAGTAGTGGCGCATTTCTGATGTACATTTCTGCAAAAGGCACCCAGATAACCGCAAATCCCATTTCTGTGAGGCTGCGGGAGCATCTGGCGCGCAGGGCCTGCCGCGGTTGGCCGCGGTCGGACCTTGGGTCAGCAGGCGCCCGCCAATGGCCGGCGGCGGTAGATCACGTGACCGAGCGTTGAGGCTGAGACGGCTCGGGGCGCGCAGATGAAGGATCGGGGCAGCCGTCGCTGAAGGAGTCTCGTGGCCCGCGCTGCACCGCAAATACAAGATGAAGAAACACAGGCTCTACATTTACAGGCTTTACAATTATGGGCACTGAATTAGCGGTGCCACCGCTAATTCAGTGCCCATAATTGACATCGGCGTGGTTTGTTTTGATTTGGTTCACGATCCCCGCAGCGAGGACATCGCGGTTGATCCTCCCACATAACAGGTGTCGGTGAGTTGCGTATATGTGTGTCCTATTCTCAGGCGGCATAGCGTCACTTCATCCCGCCTCATCTTGCGACAGCTGGACTCCCATGATCCCAACCGAGGCTTTGTCTCTCTCAGTTTATTCCCAGACCGCTTGCAGAAGTGCCCCAGTTAAGTTTCAGTTGTAGGATATAAAAGACCGATGGGAGAAAATTTTGGTTTGGTACAGCAGGGAAAGACATACACTTCATACTAATCTCGCCCCACCCCATATTTACGCATGTACGTGCCACCTTAATTCGCCTCTGTTTCACTAGGGATGTGCTGCGATGGCATAACCGCTCGGCGATCAATGAAATCGGTTACAGATTAGCGGAAATCTGATCTATTTCCTCCGTAATATTTTCCTTCACATCAATCCTTGTCACCTCCTTCATCGCATGTTGCCATACTTTGGTATCTAGCACCGGATAAATGGTTGGTGCCAGGTAAACGGTACTACGGGCAAGGATTCACAGATTGCAGCGTAGAAGCCAATAACGTCTATGATAGCCCTACACGTTCTACATATTGACATCAACATAATATCATCGAGTGTGCAAAGGGCATGGCTAATCATTAGGTAGGTGTGGACCGTACAAATCTTCTTGCGTTCAAAATGTCGACCTTCAATATTGAAAGGTCATCTAAGAATGCATGCCTCCGAGATGGCTACGACTTAACCTGATATGAACCCACAGATAACGTCTGTAGATACTTAAAGGCGAATTGGAATGCGAAAACTGTGCAGGCTATGCCACATTGTTTGCGAGAAAAAGCCACCAAATTGCTGATGAGAAAAAGTCGCCAAATTTCGGCCGTCCAGCCGGGATAGCTTAATGGGGGCCATGTTGCACGCAATGAATGGAGTGCAGTTTTGGACGGAAGGAGCACGAGTTACACGTTGGTCTCCACATGCGTGCAAATAACACCTGGCGTGGAGAACATTTCAATGTCATGTGCCTTATCAGCAATAGCGGCTATAAAAAAAAATGGTGTTTTATGCCTGGTGCTCGGTTGTGTCCGGCAGGAAAAGGCGTTGATCCGGTGCCCTTTGGCCGATCGACGACGCGGCGACACGTCCTGCTGGGCCCCATCACGCGCGGCCCTGACCTGAGCAAGCAGGCCGCAGCTGCTCCGTCGCCAGCTCGGCGCGTGACCACGTGATCGTCACACCGCCTTGAGGTCGACGCTGCTGTTGGGGTGGGACTGAGTGAAAAACTCCGGATACGTCACCTGCGATGCTGCTATGAGCGCAGCTAGTTGAGTCACCTGACTTTCGAAGCAGGAATGGCCAGTGACCCCGCGACACTGATGACCTCCAGCAACGCGTCGCTGCTCGGGGTCCACGCGTCACTGCTCGGGATCAACGCGTCGCTGCTCGGGGTCAACAGTTCGCTGCTGGAGGTCAACAGGTCGCAGCTCAGTGTCAGCGAACTGCTGCCAGAGGTCAACGCATCAACATGTCTGGCGTATCAGAGGTCACACGAGGTCACACCGCTGTGGGACTCAGCTTTGCTTCACGACTGCGTCTGCCTGCACGACGACATCACGCCGCTGGAGTACCGCACGTGGCACTGCTTCGAAACGCCGCCAGACCTGCCGTTCCTGACCGTCGCCTGGGTCGGCTACTCGATCCTCTTCGTCGCCGGCCTCACCGGCAACACCCTCGTCTGCTACGTCGTCTTTTCCGCGACGCGCATGCGCACCGTCACCAACATCCTTATCGCCAACATGGCGGCCGGCGACCTGCTCATTGCCTGCCTCTGCATGCCCTTCACGTTCCTCCACCTGGTCGTGTTCGGCTTCTGGCCCTTCGGGGACGCGCTCTGTCGCGGCGTGTCCTTCGCGCAGGCGGTCTCTGTCTTCGTGTCGGCGTACACGCTCGTGGCCATCTCTGCAGACCGCTACACGGCCATCGTGCACCCGCTGGTGTCGCGCGGCTCGCGGCGCAGGACGCGCATCGTGCTGCTGGCCGTGTGGATGTTGGCCCTCTCCACCTGCGTGCCTATCGCCGTCACGTCCCGCGCGGACGTGCCAGAGGCGGAGCGCCACTTCGCCATGCACGAGCACTGCGTCTGCCAGGAGGTGGGTACGTGGCGCACGTGGCGGCTAGGGGTGGGCGCGGGCCTCAGATGAGGGCGGTGAGTGGTGGTGGCGCTGGGGGAGAGGCGGATCAGGGGGGCACAGAAAGGCCCTCAGCAGGGGAGTCTGATAGTAATGGCAGGGAAAGTGCGCCCGCCTTTACGAGTTATCCACGACATCGTACCTTTCGCTTCCTTGCCTCCCTCTTTCAACCTGGTGGGAGTAAAATGACACCAACAACAGACGACCACCAACGGCTATTTTTTATCCTGACCTGGAACATACAGCGTGATGTGTGAACATAACGTCTTATGGCTCATTCATGCAGCGTAACGGGCATCCAACTCATTGTAGCATGCTGTCCGTAAGGCTCACTGCTCACAGATGCTACAACCAGCAGCCCTGTAAGCTGTGAATATGGTTGTCGTGCGGAGCTATGCGAACAGTACAGCTACGTTTGATCGATTCCAGGCGATGCTTCCCCGTGAGGCAATGACCCTGACCTCCTGACCACGGGTGAGCACAGGTGCTCTGCCAACAGGTGTTGGAAGCGACGAGACAACAGACCTTGACCGCATAAGCCCTGGCGCTGTGCCGACAGGTGTGGGAAGGGGACGGGACTACAGATCCTGACCTCCTGACCCCGGTGCTGTGCCGACAGGTGTCGGAGGCGACGAGACAACAGACCCTGACCTTCCGACCCCCGTAGTCACACCGACTGGTGTGGCAGAGGACGGGACTACATTTCCTGACCTCCTGACCCCCGGCGCTGTGCCGGCAGGTGTGGGAGGGGAACGGGCGGCGCTACTACACGGTGGTGGTGATGTTGCTGCAGTACTTCCTGCCGGTGACCGTGCTGGCCGTGACGTACGGCAGGATCGCGCTGGAAGTGTGGGGTCGTAGCTCGCCCTTCATCAGGAGTCAGGATGTCAGGGAGATCAGGCTGGCGCGCGCCAAGCGGAAGGTGAGCACGCACGCTTGGAGGGCTCGCCAAGTGGAAGATGAGCACGTACGCTTAGTGAGCACGCACACTTGGAGGGCTCGCCAAACGGAAGATGAGCACGCACGCTTGGAGGGCTCGCCAAGCGGAAGGTGAGCACGCACGTTTGAAGGGCTCGCCAAGCGGAAGGTGAGCACGCACGCTTGGGGGGCTCGCCAAGCGGAAGGTGAGCACGCACGCCTGGAGGGCTCGCTAAGCGGAAAGGTGAGCACGCAAGCTTAGAGGGCTCGCCAAACGGAAGATGAGCACGCACGCTTGGTGAGCCCGCGGCCAGTGGCATGGAGAACCATGGTGGTCGATGGTCGTCTCAGCGTGTATTAAAGCCATGCCAGTGTCAATGTATTGACTAATGAGTCAATGTATTGATCGTTCGATGATCCCGCACGCCGGGCCGCTTCGCGGAGCATGACTGGTACTTCCCCCGAATAATTTATCAATCCGATGCGTTGGAGTAAAATGCGCCTTGCGTTGTGAGAAGTAAATACAAATAAACGGTAGAAACGGTGATGGAGGTGATAAATTACATTAAGGAGGGCGTATAAGATATATTACGTTTTGTTAGCATGCATCTCTCTATCTATCTATCTTTAAATATTTGTACAAGGATAGTATATTTGCATATATATATATATATATATATATATATATATATATATATATATATATATATATATATATATATATATATATATATATATATATATATATATAAAATGCATATATATACGTATGTATACATATCTCTCTCTCTCCCTCTCTCTCTCTCTCTCTCTCTCTCTCTCCTCATCTCTCTCTCTCTCTCTCCTCTCTCTCTCTCTCTCTCTCTCCTCTCTCTCTCTCTCTCTCTCTCCTCTCTCTCTCTCTCTCTCTCTCTCTCTCCTCTCTTCTCTCTCCTCTCTCTCTCTCTCTCTCTCCTCTCTCTCTCTCTCTCTCCTCCTCTCTCTCTCTCTCTCCTCTCTCTCGTCTCTCTCTCTCTCCTCTCTCTCTCTCTCTCTCTCTCTCTTCTCTCTCTCTCTCTCTTCTCTCTCAGAAAAAATTGAGCACAACTTCCCATCCCAAAGAAAGGTTTCACAATCATGCATACGGAGCAAAACTAGTCAAGTCAAAGTACGCGCGATTTACCTTCAATGAATGTCGTGGGGCGGTGAGAGGTACCACAGCCTTCCAAGTTCATTCTTCACGACCTTCACCCTGGATTACTTTTCACTGGCATTGCGAACTTGTTGTCCGGCGATGTTATTAATGCCTTGAAGAAGTGAAAGTCAACAC